TATCGACCGTCAGTTGCACGTCGCAACGCAACTTTCATGAAGCGCGCTAACTGTGATACTGACTAAAACCATTCTACATTCATATCTTATAAATTATCGACTCAGCTGAGTAATTTACTACAGTAGAAATTGTATCATTTGTAACAATTTGATCTTGCCTGTAAACTGGCATGCCTCATGTAAAAAAATGTTATTTGAGAATAAAATATTATTATTATATGTTCTGCGCCATTTCGGATGTCTTTTACGTTATTATAAGGCAGTTGTTGACCATTATCTTCATTTGTATCGTCGAGCTCAAGAGAGCGTGATCGTAATTTTAATATTGGACAAACACACCGAAGCAGTCCGGTACCAGGATTCATCAATCAATTTATAAGATTGTGCATAACGTGCTAATGAAACTGACTTGAATACGATGAACATGAGTGTAACATTGAGAAGCCGTCTCCAAACTGAGTGTTCTGATTTGCAGCTCAATTGAAATCGTGAGCTATCAGTAGTAATCCAGTAATATTTAAGGGCAATGTATGATGTTGAACTCTGATAAATATGTGGACAATATAGTAAAACTCATCAGTTGAACAGAATGTGGCTGCAGATATATAGTTAAAGTTCAGTTTAGATTGTCGTCTGAAAATTGAATTACGGTGATTGCTGCTCTTAAGCATCACGAATGAACATATTGAGAACATAAGATTCTACGACCGGGAGTATGACCGTGAAATCATGTCTACGATAGCGTTAGCTGTTGCAACCACGCTTTTATCAGAGTGCAGGTGGTTCGCTTGCATGTAGCTAGATCGTCAGTTTACTCGGCAGTTTGCGAGTTGTTTGGCGTACGGACAGCTGGTGGATAAATTACGTGTTAGCCCTGTCGCCACAAATGTGAAAAGTCGGTTTTATTGAGTTATTGTTATGATGGATGGTTCGGAGTGTAATAAAGATGTTAGGTATGATATCGAAAAGAAAAATATGCATGAAAGCGGAATGCTCACTCTTTCTTTGGAATGTCATCTACACTTATTTGCTTAATATTTTGCGTCGTGCAACAGAAGCTGGCTCGGAACATCTATCGCTTGTGCTTTTTTGTCTTCTGTACTGTTCGCATTTTTGAGCCGTGGACAAAGAACATCTAACAGTTAAATGGACCGTGATGTTCTTTAGGGCCATTAGGTACTTATACCGATTTTGGTTTTAGTCCCGTGTATGGTGTAAGGCTGTGCTAGTTCGGGCATCAATATGTTAGCTAAAACGCTTAAGAAATACTTATTGCTTACCGTATGTGCCGATCGATTTCCGATTTGCCGCCTGCATGTTTAAACCGGTTCGTACAGCCGGTCGATAGAATTCACTTAAAGAATGCTAAGTTCTGCGTCAGTATCAACGAGGAGGAGAGCCTTCTTCATCCCAGACGGCTATGTTTTCTGTCTACGGTGGCCGTGTCGGTCGCTTTGAGTCTCGAGAAGACTTACCATGCTGACTATGATAACAGCACCAATCAAGGATATATGTCTCAAGTGATCTTGAGACAAATTGTTTTCGTGAAGTATTCTTTCGAAGAATTTGAGAGCCATTATGGTCATGACGAATACTAAAGTAAGTGCCAGAGTATAAAAGGGTTTCGTAATGTCATTTCGTGTCATTCGCAACTTTTCTTTCACTCAATAATCCTCGGCGTTTGAGGTTTGATCGATCTCCAGAATTCGGTCAGCAGATGTAGCCAGCTCGTCTACAGCGTTGTTTTGAAATGAGGCAAGTACTGTCTGCACCTGTTTGGGGAGCTTAGACAAGAAATGTTGTCTAAACAGGCCATCGTCGAAGGTCCGTTGACCAATAAACTTTTGCATTCGTAGCAACGCTTCTGTAACTGAACTATGTTGTAGTTTCATGTTGTTGAAGAATTAGTCTAACTGTTATCGTTCAGCCAGATCTCCGCGCTTAAAAATAGCCTTTTTAAAGCTCCATAAGGTTCCGAAGCATCACCAGTGATCATACTAGATGTGACGTACTTGTTGGAATTGCGCTGTAGTGCTTGCGTTATTGTGAAGAACCGTGCACATGGGTCTGACATCCCGTGTTCATGGAAGTCAGCTTCTGCGTATCAGAACCAGGCACCCATAATTTCGGGCAATAATGGAATAAGCTAAAATAAGGGAGGCGAAAGTGTTTTAATCCCAAATGTCTTAGATGTATGTTACGTCATGATAAATGTAAAGTATTGCAATTAACGAGAAAACATATCTGAAAATAATAACAAATATCACAATGAGTAAAAATGCAAATTAAAAACTGATATAAAATGCTCCAGCGAGGGACAGAATCACAGTTTACTGTTTGGTGCACCAGACCACGTCGGGACGACCACTATGAATGCCATAAGTGTTTGGGTGTTGACGACGCCCTAACCAGTAACATCTTTATAATCGAAGTATGCCAACCAAGAGAAATCCGGAACCAGGAACGAGGGATTTCGAAGATATATGTGGAAGACTGTCGGCTTGTCGAATAAACGCTTGGTCTATGCTGTCTAGCCGTCGAAAGGGGATGCGTAGCACAGCGTACTCCAACGATGATCTGGTGCGCATGTGTGGCTGAGCGCTTCCAGCTGGGTGAATTCACTAAATGTAATGCGGTCAGCATCGATTTCGAAGACTTACAGGGATATTGATTTTGGGGATCTATTTACCGCTGCACTACTCTTTGTCCTTTATGCGTATATAAAATGTTTATACCCACTTCATACTGCATTATGGATGACGCTGAAACATGAGATATTCGTTCGTGTACTAACAGTACTGTGACTGTTTTTATATTACGTTAGTTACACAGAAGAGTAACGTTTTTTTCATTGTGTTGAACACTGTGGATACAGTTCAACGACTACCTGATGAAGCCAACAGAAATCCAGTGGTAGTTGTTAAGAATACGAATGCGCAAATGACTAGCGACAACTTTCTTTATAGTTTCATCTAATTTTAATACGAAATCTCATTTTCAACGCAACAGTCTCCCAACTATGTGAATGCACAACTATTGCGCCTGTCGATGAATATACTGTCAAGACAGGACTACTTCTATGGGGTGAATGGACTGTGATTGTGTGTTGATACTATATTTCCTCCTAGGAGTCGTTTACGTGAAGAAGGCCCATACAACCCAGGTATGAGTGCGACAACAGACATGCTAATGTTAACAGTCATGATGTGACGAGCCCTAATCGGGTGCACTCAGGCATGTGATTTTTGTCACTAGGGTGGTTTCACAGTCATCTCTCGAAGAAAATGCTTTACACTCCTTGGGCTACACCAAGTGGTCCGAGATGCTTTTCACCATACTTCACAAGGGAGATTCGCACCATTCTCTGTAGGAGGAGAAGAATGTGAGGAAGATTTAGGTTACTGGTCACTGATGAGACAAAATCTCAATATGCAGGAGCTCAAAATATTTGTGCCTTGACTCTCCACAAGTACAGAAGTTTGTACGAAAAAAGCGTTGTCAAGGTATTTATAGAACGCCCTAAACGCTTATACTCCAACATAAACCAAAGGATTAAGAGAAGAGAGAATGTTTCAGCACTATAGGGAGTCAGTAATTCGTCATCACTAATGGTGGACGACCATGGTAAAGGTCAAGTATTCTCAAACGAATTTGGCAATGTATATACCGTAATGAAACCCATCCCATCAGTTCATACACAACCCCTTCACACACATTGGACAGTGTGGCCATTAAACAACTTAATGTCTATGGTGTGCCAAATAAACATGATACAGTCAAGTCCACGTGACTCAATGTAATGCACCCTAGGTTGCTAAAGGAACTAGCTAATTTCGTAGAAAACCCCTCTAAGCATACGTTTTAATCTATCCGCAAACCAGGGTTGATTGGGGAAGCTATCTGAATGGTTTCAAACTTAACAGTCACCAATAAACACTTCCGAGTGCGTCGTGGCGCATGTTGATCATCAAAGTACAAATACATACTCGATGAATAAAATTGAACTACCTATTGTCCAGACACACAATGATCTAGTAGACACCGTTAGCTTAGATTTAACAACTACAACACACTGCCGTACAATAGCCACCAATGGTTTAAGGATCCTATAATCAATATGATGGGCTTTTAACCACGTCGACGCCAAAATATTTCTGAATATGTATACAGTATTCGTGCGAACTGCACATGAGCGGACTGCTCCTGCTTTAAAACGACGGTAAACGTTTAGAAAAGATTCAGAGAGCAGCAAGTACGTTGACTCCCGGAATAGCGAAGCTCCCGTATCATCTTCGACTGGCTAAACTAAACCAATTCCCATTTTCGTATCGAAGATCTAGGGCATACTTGATTACAGTTTCCAAATTGTAAACTTGCATATGAAACGCCCTGAGTTTTCTCGTCTTCAAAGTCCGACAATTTACGAGGACACTCCAAAATGTTTACAAGTCCAGAACAAATTATTTTCCTGCTGAATAACGACTTTCCCATCGAATCATTAACGAGTGGAGTTCATTATTTCGACACGTGATTGAAGCTCCATCTGTCGACTCTCACAAGAAAGTTGGATCAACCAAGAGATCGTAATTACCAGGATAAACACAGGCCAACTAACCTCCTGTCGTTTCCGAGCGGAAACTGGAACTGATATATACGGATCCTTATTAAGGTACCATTTTCGCTACTTGAAGGGTGGAGCCCATCAGAAATAGTATCGCTGAATTCAAACCAAATTTAGAGCTGTATTTATTTTGCAGCTTCTAGAAAAACTTTTGAATGATCGAAGTGAGTCATTGCCATTATTCTGTCTATTAAATGTAGATGCATTCTATGTACTTACCGAGTCTTGGACTTTGATGCAAACTTCACTCATCTATTTGACTAAATAGAGTTTTAGTATTTCGAATGATGTCAATTCGTGATGAAACCTCTAAATCCAGTTCCTAACCTTAACAATCAACTGTAAATTATAGTTCTAATTCACTACATTGCTTTGTAACCTTCATTTAGTCTTAGTTATTAGGCGAACATCCTCAAGGTCATTTCGGAGTCGCCCAAAGGTCCCTCATAAATTACAGTATAACCTCGTCGTCACCGCCTAAAGTGATACCGAATTCCCTTCTATTTTCACCATTCTTGTGTGCCTGAATGTTATTCTGTATTATATCATGCTTCACATATATGACGGAATATAAAAGTAAGTTTGTTGTTAACAGAACATGTTTGTCATTATATAATGACAAACTGAAGATTGGAAAGTATTATAATAATTTAGGACTTGTGTTCAAACATAAGTAAACTGTGTATTGTATAAAAATTTTTTCGCGATAAATTTCCGTTTACGGAAGTACACATCCCAAGCTCCCAACGTTGGGGAAATCCCCAAACTTTGGGGATATATATATATATATATATATATATATATACCTTTGTTCTTCCCTATACGTTAGACAAAATTCTACGTGGTTGAGTGTTATATTGCAAATGAATCCTTTGCATCGAAACCAGACCTTACACGCTGTTCAGTCTAATATGAAAGACATATTGACAGGAAGTACATCCGGTAAATATTTTGTGTTAACATCTTTTTCAACAGGCCGGTGGATAAAGAATGTGTGTCCAACTTTTCTGGGATCCTCCCAAATTCCGTTTTTGTTTTCTCCAAGTTCTCATTCGGTTGCTATCAAAAGTCAGCAACAGATAACTGTATACTCTGACAGAACATGGGAATTTGATAGTTTTGGTAGTTACGTATAATTCCATTAAAATGTCTACACAGTGTGGGGTTTATAGTTTATTTTACATGTTTCGGATTTAGGAAAATTCATTCGGATTCTAGTGATATATAGTAATCAACAGTTAAATTTACTGTACTGACTAGCAATACCCAGAATTGTTTGGTGAGTTCTATGGTAGTGATGCATGGAATAACGCTCAAGTCAGAGAGGAAAGTCCACGCATATGTGAGCGTTGTATTTTGTAACCCAAATTATGCATGAAATAATGTACAGAATAATTGACGTTATTTGCAAACATCGCTAACTGAATAGGCTAAATCTGTTGTGGTAGATCGATGTTGTACAAATATCGATGTTATGATTGTACGTGGTTTTTTGTGACACCGTTAGACGCCGTGAAAACGTACAGTATTTTCAACTTATTCATCTTTGTTTTCCTCCAAATTACCCTGTCAAGTAATTCACACCAACTTTCTGGTTTCTCCAGTCATCGTTTATTTTTTTATTTCGTTTGTAGTTATTTAAATGAATACAGATACTCCATTGGAATCGATAATCGGACATTCTAGTATCCAATCAACGTCAGATAGACATCCACTACTCTGGAATCCCGTACTAATTGGATGCGGGATTACGACTGTTACTTCATGCTACATTTTTTGGTCATTCATCTCTCCTGCATTTCGGAAAATGTGTTTACCATTCTTACCTGCTACGTCGACTCAGCTAGATAATACGTGCAAGCTTCTGGAGTATGCGCAAAGTCAAAAAAGTGATAAGTCATTAGGATCTATAATTGATCTGGGCAGTGGTGATGGACGCGTGGTTAGTATGCATTGTTTTTATGTCCGACTTCTCATTTAAACAGATATACTAGTTTTGTCACAAATACTCGGTAAAGAGTATGTTTTGAGGCATCTTATATTGTTGTTACTTTTCTTGTGTATTCTTTGCAACTGAAATTTTGCAGCTAATCCAAATTTATTTTGTACTAGTCCGACCAAAAGTATTATCTACATGAATCTTAATTGAAAGCTTGTGAACTCCGGACATAGAAGTCTTCCATATAATAATAAAAGCTTTTTGAAATGTTATACGCGTAATTAACTCCCAAATATAAAATGTTACTTCCGGATCGGCTTGTTTCATAGCTCGAATTAGTGATAGGGAGTAAAATAGTTGAACGCATCGACCCGCTTAATCTATTTTGGGAGTTCTATCATTCTGATAGTCTGGTGTCTGGGGAAATCTCGGCGTGGACTCAGAATACCCAACTGGATCTCTTCACTTTGCATCACGTATAACGTAGGCGAGGTATCCGTCTTCCAACCAGAGGAAGAGTTTACTGTGCAGCAGTTTTTTGTGTTCTACTTTAGGAATGTAAAACATGGCCATTAAGAATCGAGGATATTCGTAGGTTACTGGTATTCGATCATAGGTGCATTCGAAGCATTTCTCTTGTATTTTAGGACCACGGAGTAAGCGATTAGTGAGTTCGGAATAGAGTAAAGGTGGGAGATCGGTTGAATGGGTAGTAAATCTTCATCAACTGAGATAGTTGGGACATGTGTTCCGTATGCCCAACCATCGCCTACCTCGACGGGCAATGTTTTTTAGTGCAGGAGTTAGCTGAAAGAAAAAGCTAGAGGCGGACAAAACAGAACATGGAATTAATTCATGAAGTCATCGCCAATCGTGTTTGGCCATGTTTATAGGTATAGACTACCTGGTTCGAGTTCGCGTTATCATCGTAACCAGTGGTTAGAGACTTTGAATGATAAGGTTCACAATCGTTTGTAATTGCTCATATGCGTCCATTCTTTGTCTTCCACCAAATCCCTTGATACCGAATCCCTCATAACTCTTTTTGTTCTTATTTCGTTGATACGTATTTTCTTTTTGGATCATATCTTCCATCTGTATTTTTTTCCCATTGCCACTGATACTGTTACTACCTCTACTATTCTTGGGTTCGGTCTAACAACATCCCTTTGTACTAGAGGGGTATGGCATCTTGAACTAATATACATACATGCAGTTTTTACTTCGTGATTGAATGACAAACTGACTGACCTTTTATCACGAAGAGAGCGCGAATAAAGATTTGAGAAGAGCAACATTTTATTTTGTTTGGTTCGCGTCACCTGCTTACGACTTATAATATTTAAAAATCATAGTTATAAAATGGGTTGAAATTGGTGACAAATCAGTTTAACTGAAAGTGGCTATGAACACACGTCAGTATAGTATAGCAAAAATGTGGATAAACGTGATAAACTAAACAAAATAATGTGAATATATATCTTATGTTGAATATCTTTGAATTTACTTAATTACTCAAACACAAACATTGATACAAAGCGACACCAAAATATATATACGCCACAATAAAAATGAGATAGTGAAGAGGTACAGAAACGTGTATGATAAAAAAACGAGAAATTAGTATATAAGAGTGATAAAAAGATGACACTAGTGGGAGAGGTAGTTCGGTTAAACAAAAACACAACCAGCAAGCATTCTTTTGGTTTAAGTTCGTCTTTATTCTGAGTCATGTCTGACAACTCAAGTCACTGCAGTGCACTACTTCTTGGACCCCAAACAGAGTCTCGAAGGACTGATAGGTGCCAGTCTTGTACAACTTTCTTCCGTACCACGACACCATGTTATACACTGACCACCTCCGCTTTTTCCAACCAGTCCGAGCATCAGCGAATAATGCACGGTGTGGGACTCTCTGAGACAAAATTTGTAGCACATGTCCAAGCCACCGATGATTGTATTTCAAGATAGTGACGCCAGTTGAATTATCGTCACTGTCCGTGAACATACGTTCCCTAACCCTTGCATTACTAACCTGGTGTTGTTACTGAACGTCAACAATCCGTCGGAAACAATGATGATTAAGCACAAAGGGGTGCTTAGTATAATCCCGGAGAGGCCGGGTTTCACAAGCATGGAGCAAAACTGCTGTCGTCGACGCATTATAGATCCAGTCTTTTGCAGTCAGGCCAACATCACGGAGACGCCAAAGATGACTCAAATTGGTATAAGCCACTATGACTTTCACTATACGTAAATTGATCTCATCATTCATTTCATCACCAGCAATTATGCAGCTACTCAGATACACAAACTTCTCAACTACTTCTAACCATTCACTTCCAGGAGCGAGTGCAAACACACGGTTCTTCCAGTTTCCTAAAAGTACCTTGCATTTAAAGTGTGCAACGCACTTGCTATATCTACTCACAAAGTTAACGGATTAAGTGAGGATTGCACAGTAAGACAATATCATCCACATACTCAAGGTCGAAAAGTCTTCCTCCAGATAACAGATCCATACAACCATTACCTACATCCATCAGAGCTGTTTCCAGAACGTCATCGATGGTAAAGTTGAGGAGTGGTGAGACTAGGCAAACCTGCTTAACCACACTGCTTGAATGGAACAGTGGAGAGAGATAGTCGTATGCCCTTACCCTACCTGAGGTGTTTGTATATAGGGTCTTTAAGAGGTTGACAAACTCCCCATGCACACACTTGTTCAGAAGATAATCCCATCCAAAGGATTGGAAGCAGGCCAGATGTCGAGAAACAAAGACTGTTGGCATACAATAAGTATGGTGATGTTCTAACATTTTTGGTGTGGGGTAAAGATTTGATCAATACATCCTCAACCAGGATAAAAACCATCTTACTCTTTGAACTAACTAGCAACCAAAACGGCTTTGAAATTTACAGTGAGCTAATAGCACAAAAATTTCACAAGGCACAGATCGATGAGTTTCTGTTCTCAAAATTAACTTCAATTCTGATCAAATGAGTAGCTGTACTGTGTAAAAATGTATGACCAAAGTTACTATACCGCTGTACTTAGTTGTTATATTATCCGCTTGTAATCTTTTTTTTACATGTAGTGTTGTACTCTTATTGCCTAGTTGCTTTTATGTTTTTCTTTCGGTGTTTTTCCCCAAATTATAGTTAATTGATTTATTAAGTCGACCAACATTGAAAATCACTTCTGCTCATGGTGTAGAGTTAAATCGTCCGCTTGTTTGGTATTCACGTATCAACTCCTTTTGTAGTAATAAATTACTCCCTACACCCAAAGTAACTTTCGCTTGCAAGAATATGTGGAAAACTAATCTTTCTGTATATGATACAGTTTTACTGTTTGGTGTAGATTCAATGGTGAGTAAATTTAATGATGTGTTTCTGATAAATTTATTCATTTTAGATTGCTATTGGCAATAAAACCATTTAAAATATCATTGACACAAACTGCTTCGGTTTTCGCACCCGTGCAGTATACCTACCATCACACAAATCATTTGATTTGTGTGGCGCATATATATTTGGTGCCTTCTCGTATCATTATGTGTTTAAATAAATAATAAATAAATATACAAAATGGCTATGGAATTGAGAGAAAGAATCGGTTTTAATTTTGCTATTTATTACTTTTTTCCCCACTACATTTAGAATTATTAATAGGTGTTTACTTATTCAGTTCAGATGAGTATGTTGTGGTCGTTTTCATGAAATAATCTATATGTACATCAGTGTTTATAAAAGACTTAAAAAACCCACTAATTATGTGCAAAATAGGTATAAACTTATTTCGTTTTGTTTTCATTAGTAGTGCTTGTGATAGATAAGAGTACACATTAATGGAAGAGAGTTTTTAAATTACTGTTTCATGCTAACATGTGTATTTCCAAACTCTGCGTTCATCAACGATAATGTTACTACCAAACCTAGAATCGTCGGGCTATAGCTGGTGTTATAGGCTCTATTGAACTAGTAATTTTATGCAAACTATTCTCTTTAAGCGATACATTTTACCCCCATCATACACCATTCTGCTCTCAATACAAGCTACAATGCTTCCAGAGAGTTTGCCATTGCACTCAAGTTGTTACTAGATAAATGTAGAGAATTAATTTCATATTGGTGGGTTTTTCAAATTGCTTATAGTTTCGTAATAGTGACAGTGTCTGTGTTAAGCATTATTTGTTTAGTACAATACGAGATTTTCAGTACAATTAGAACGGTCACTCAGTCAAATGATTATTTATATTTTTCTATTACGAGTTAATGTATGATAGTTGTCTTGTTCATAATACTATTCCGGATCTTGGAAACGTAAAATATTCGCAAAAAAATTACTTGTCTACAATTATTTAAATTTACAGATGGGATCCATCGAACAGAAACTAAACAAAGAATTAAGAAATGGTTCAATCGTCATTACAGCCAGATATCCACTGCCTAATATTCAAGCATCCAAATCCATTATTGATGGACCCCACTCAGTATATTTGTACAAAATGTAGTTATTACTAATATGACTTTGTAATTACTTTTTGTACATTTATTCAACCATTCCTTTGTTTAATAAATCACAAAATGTCTTTAACTTATTTTATCACATCAATTAGCTAATTATTTTAAAATAATATCTACCTAAAAGTTGAGTGCTCCAACATGTAGAACCTAATATCATTCTACTATTGGTTGATACCCGTTTTCTTTTCTCAAAGGTTTGAACATCGATAGTAAACGAGGTAATGACCGATAGTCTTCTGAACTTCTAACAAGAATGATGGTCCATATCTATTGTGCTCAATTTGGTTAGTCTGTGTCATAAATTGTAATTTTCAACACTATACCGTTCCTCTGTTTGATTAAGTATCCTTAAATGTATTTAATGGTATGTTTTCATCATATCATCATAGAGTTTCATGATAGTGTGACACTGCCTAGTTAGCAGTGGGTGAAATACTTAAATATCCGCATATAAATTTGGGTTTTTCAGGAATTTGACATGGAAATTGAACTGGTCAACATGTTTATTAAGTGGCTTTCAAATCGTAAGATTGAGAAAATCCTTAATGAATGAGTATGTATTGTGTTGTTTCTGAACCGAGTTGAGATTACTAGGAGTAATACATAGATTTTAACCATACTCTTGAACTTATAAACGATAAGTACTCGTCATTTTTCATGTTATCGTGACACTTTGGGTAATTCATAAAGTTCACTTTTATTCATTAGTTATCTAAAAAACCGATACGTGTTATTGTCATATCATCAATGAAAAGGTACTCACCGTGATGGTTCAATTCGTTCTGTTATATAGGATTTTGGCATCAATTTATTGTCTGTTTTAGAGTTCTAGAAACTGTATAGCTTTGCCGACTAAGAGTTTATCACACAATGGTCATAGTAGAATCTAGTGGATTACGTGTTGCAGTCTTGTATCACATTTTATATCCCTCCTTAAATGGCCGGAATCTTTGTTAGTTGTGTTCTTACCTGAAATGTTCCTTCTAATGCTTCATATTCTTCGTTTTCTAGTTCCTAACAATACTATTCCATTTAGAACGGCATTTACATTTATAATTAATAGTTACAGTCATCCCTTGCAAGATTTTGATGACGGGCTTACGTCAGCCTGAGAAGTTAGGAATCAAGAACTGCTGTTAGCTACCTCAGAACTACTCAGCAGTCCGTACACACAACCCTGAAAGTAATAAACTCAAAACCCTCAGGTTATGCATCAAACTCGTTACTTTCAAACGAACGTGATGAAAAGTCTATTCAAACACGTCACCACAACCTGCTTGAATGGTACTTGAATTTGTCGTTAGGTGGAACTATATTCGTTCACTTCTAGAGATTACTAAAACAAATCGAAACATTTGACTAACACGAGTTGGCTTTTGTTAACTATCACGACGATGTTGCATTTGCAATGAGCACTACTTCAGAATAGATAGTATCTGTTCCACTCCAGATACTTCTGTAAATTTGCAACAGTGAGGTTGATGAACAACCAAAACATGTGTTAAGCAAATCAAAGTACCGAAATCGACATTATTAAAATGTTTATTGATTAATCTCTTCGTTGTGTTCTCCAACGGTGTATGTAATGAATCCATAGAAGTATTGTTCCTATGTGAAGTACAGTCACATATATCCATCCTGTGGTGAGTAGATAGTTCTGTCTCGTAGGCCAGTTTGCTAACTGTGATTGATCGATTCCTATTGACTCATTCAAATGTAGTTGTGGTGCATCTTCAAAACCGGTTGTACTCCAATCATCGGTTTCTTCAACTGTTATTAATTGTTGGTTTAATCCATATTGACTTGTTGGCATAACATATTGTTGACTATATAAATCACATAATTTTAATGCGTTTATTAGATTCTCACGTTTTGTTTGTGATACGTTGATGTCTGAATTTGAATGAAGCTGGAAAATAAATAAGAATAATTGTGAAAATGTATAACTATTGATCTAATTTTCAATATTTATTATGTGTTCAGTAGGAGTGCCAAGTTGATCACTGGGTAGACGGGTATGATGAGTTCAGTTTGTGGTTGTTCGACTTTGTGCAACACCGAATCCACTTGATGTAACAGAGTTGTGAATATTCCTTGACTGATTATGAAGTTCTCACTAGGTTTTATCAACTGAGTAGGATATAAGACGAAGTTGTGATTACAGTGAAACATTTGTGTTGTTTTAAAACAATCAATACAATAATATGTAACCTAACTATGTAGAATTGTAAGCTAATCAGAATTCACCCTAATTGCAAATACGAACGTCTTGTGAAATATTATGTATGTACATAAGTAATGCTAACTCACTTCACTCAGATCACATCCAATGTGTGTTATCCTTTTTGTTTCCCCCATACATTTTTGGCCGATTACATTAGTTATACAAGTGCGTATTTGTTGACGATATGGTTTCTTGTGGCATATTTCATTTAAGTCAGGCCATACACAACTAGACCATGCTGACCATACACTCCATATAGCTGGTGATGGTTCAATCTCACAATGATCACCTGTATAACCATGATTACAAATACATTTATACAAAGTTGGATTATTAGTATCTTGGATACACTGACCAGAATTCCTACATGGTTGCCTTCTCATTCTAAATTCACTTGTTATATTGAATTCACCACAAACTGGTATAGGTACACACCTGGGTTCACTTTCAGTCTGATGTTGATGTGTTGTAGGACATTGACAACTAATATGTTCACATAAAAAGAGAAGGAATGAAGTAAGTAACATTTATAATTAGATCGCAACTATATTAATTAATTATGGTCAGTCTGACATGGTAAACATTGTATCATGTTTTTCTTTTATCTGAGATCCAGTGTATAATTTAAGTGGTATGAAAACTCATTGAACTATCAAGGTTGAATGTGTACTCAATCACTGACCTTAAAAAGACTTTACGAATGGTGACTTTTATTAATCGATAGAAAAATGGATTTGACTTGTTGGTTCTGTCTTTATGAATAATAATATCCAACAGTTTATCTCAGTAGTAAGTGTATTTTTCTACGTAGAACAGATGCTATTTGTGTGATTTCTGACAGAGTCAAACATATCAGTGTGCATTTATTAGAGACATGGTCACAGATAGTTGAGATCGCTTCCAAGAATGACACGGATAGTAGTCGAGGATAATTGTGAAGACAGACAAATCTTTAGAGGGTTAAATATTGAACAGTTGGACGTTTTTCAGATGTTGAGTTATACTAAACAACATGGCTGGTCAATTGAGCCCAACCGACTGTAGTTATGAACATCAAGGAGGAGATTTAAACAACTAATACCACTAAGTTAAGCTATAAGGATTTGAATATGATTGTGACGATAGATTTCCTTGAAGTTAGAAGTGAAAAATCACATGGAAGTAAGAAGGTCTTTGTAATGAACTCTACATAACTAACGACCTGTAGTTTATTCTGCACTAAACAGGACAGTTCCTGAAACAAATTTTTACAATACTTAGGAACAGCATACTGAAAACGACAGATAAATGTAGTTCATATATGGGAAGTTAGCAGTTTTATGACAAAAAATATTGTATCAAATTCCCTATTTCGAATAAGTGGATGTGGGTTACTGATTAAAGATTGAATTTAGAGTTACTAGACCGCAGGTTTCCACTCCAATCCCACCTTCGGTTTTGAGTGTCTAAAGAGCACGAAGAATGTGTGGGAAAAAGCCGAGCAAAACTAACGTGTTCTTGATAGTTAACTTCCGTTAATTTGTCAATGCTTCTTATTGACGCTAAATATATTTAGTTTATGGTTTATAGGTTACTGTTACTGAGGGGTATAGACTAAAATCATGTGACAGCTGAGGTTGTTTTATTCTGTCGTGGTGCCTCTCTGCTCTTTGATTAAGAGATTATATCTCCAAATTTTCACATTGTTTTCTCTGTTATTAAGCACTTTGACCACTTAAACTTAATTATGTTGGGAATCATCATTCCACCACCTTGTTCCCGTATCATGAAAACCATCAATTCCAATGACCACAGTTATTCAACTAGATTATTCAGGTAGTATTGATTTCAGTAGTATCTAGAAAACCAGTCACAAACAAAGTCATCGGAACTGACTGGCCCAGTGCTTTTGGAATAGTTTTAAAAGCTAAATTATAATTGAGACTAGTGACCCTGACTTTGTGGGGAGTGAAAGCGCATAGTTAAACCGTCCAGCTCAGAGAATAAAGCACTACTCATCGGTAGATTGAAACTATGTATCCCTTAAGTAACCTAATTATTGATTTCGCAAGTTAACTTACATTCTCTTACAAAAATCTCAAGTAGGCAAACAATGACCTCTTAGTTTGTTTTTATATCATAGCCATTCGTTTCCTTCTTAATCTTTAATTATTCCAACATTTGTTCACGATCTACTTTGAGACATTAATATACTGTCTTAAAATGAGTTATTACCGAAACTGAACATAAAGTACTTACCGAAAACCATACTCTAAATTTTGTGGATCTCGTACACAGGAAAATGGAACACAGCCAACTTTATCTTCGCATGGATTTCTTTCATACTCGCACTGAGTACCTTTAAAAGCAGGTGGACATTGACAAAATAAGCCTGACTCCAGGTAATCGATTCCCAGATTTTGTACACATGTACCCCCATTGGCACAATAATTATCATTGTAACAACTATGTTCTCCTTTTACACCCGAACATGTATCTGAAATTCTGTCATACTAAGAAACATTTTGAAACATGGTGTTGAAATTTTGATACCATGAATAATTCCGTTGCGCGAAAATAAAGATGGTCAACTTACTAATATTAGTTCAATCCAATCAATCTATATAGAAATGAGGTAATGTGACCAGACAAGTAAGTCAATAAAGTATATGCTTAGAAAGCTGACTTAGAGTGGTGTTTGTACGAACTAATGAATCTTTTGTGCTTGATTGCCCTCCGATTTCGAATTCCAAATACAATACGTTCATATATGATCATCTAGTTATACTTACAGCAAAGTGCTTCAAAGATGTTAAAAAACATTGGTTTTTGTAGTAATGCAGTGAACGAGAACGCAAGCGGCGACAACCAAAGGTTTGAATAGAAAATTACAGAACGTCTGAG